TAGGTCGATTCCACGATTTCCTAAAGAGGACTTACCCGAATATCCGGACACGGTTGAATATCCGGACATATGAATATCCGAACACACACCTGATTATCCGAACATGCATTTGAATAACCGAATGTACTCCTGATTATCCGGACATACACCTGAATGTCCGAACAGCACTCCTAATTATCCGAACACACACACCTGATTATCCGAACATGCACCTGAGTATCTGAACACATACACTCCTGATTATTCGAACACACATCTCAATATCCGAACACACACCTGATTATCCGAACACACACCAGAATATCCAATAGACCAGCCGCTCAGGTGTCCATCGCGTGGATAAGTCAAGTTTAATATTGGCATTGTTGCTGGCATGTTAAGCTGAAACAAACACACACACACACACACACACACACACACACACACACACACACACACACACACACACACACACACACACACACACACTTTTAAAATGATCATACATTAAAGTGCTTGTTATATTTTTTATTAATATATAAGCAAATTCTATGTAACCGGAAAATATCTATGTATAACCGAACCTTATATTCCGGGGTGGGGCTGGGAGGGGCGGGGCAGGGCAGGACATGGCGGGGCTGGGTGGATAAAAGGGGGAAAGGGGGGGGAAAGGGGGGAGGGAAAGGGGGGAGGGAGAAAGATGGATTACATAATTGCCTCATCATATGGTCACAAGATTTATCCAGTTGACAAGTTTATTCTGGGTTTTTGTAGTTAATGGACAAATCTGTCTGAGGTGGCGTGATCATGAGCCAGAATTAACGTGGTGTAAGTAGCTCACCACCAGGCCTCATATTTTATGTATCACAGCCCTGTTAAAAACCCCTCGTATTACGTAGACAATTTAGCTCCTGTTTTATACACACTCGTTAAAATAAACCAAATCAGGCTCATGAATAAACACTGGAAGCCATTGATAGCCAGTTGGAAACAATTGGATGCGAAAAAGAAAGAAATCAAGCTTTTATCTGTGTTTTTTCTGAGGTATGTTGATTATTTTTGCAAAACCCGCGAATTTATTTATTGAAAGCTTGATGCGAATGTTAGTTTTATCTTAAGCATTATTACAGGTCGTCATATGAACAAAAGAAGTTTATTTTTATGAGCTGTAATAAACATTGTTGAATTTGCTTGTAAAAGTTGCCCCCAAAAATATGAAAACTTATCATGCATCAAGACTGTAACAGTTTACTTCTATTTCAGTAACTGTTAATTAGTAACTTGCAGTCGTTGTATACACCAAATACAATTGTTTTTTCCTCCACTAAATATACAATGTACTCGTAGAATATTCTTACAAAACCGACAAGATCTCACGTTTAAAACCAGCTATGAATAAAGATTTCAAAGTCTCTCAGAACTAGGGAGAGAAAGACACACACACACACACACACACACACACACACACACACACACACACACACACACACACACACACACACACACACCCAACCTCCGAGTCCATCAAGGGATCACACAAGATTATTTCCCGGGTAATTCGCGATCGTGTTAAAATGGTGCTGGGTGAGCGGGTTACGGGCTCCAAGTCTGTCGCCAGTTACAGCCTCGTTTTAATTACAATGAGACCCAGGAGGACAATATGCTGCAGCCGCGTCCCCATCCTATCCCCCTGGCTTGGCTCCGGGTAGCTAGTTGGAGCCAAACAAGCGCTTTCGGACGGAGTGATGAGTCGCTTGGCTTCACGTTGTCGGCTGTGACTTACGCTAAGATTATATCATTGTGTGTTGCTCTTCCCCCGGCAGGTGATTTAAAGGAGGCGATACGTTCGACAGCGTAGGAACGGAAGGGGGGATTCAGACACGGCTGTTTGTTCAGCCAAAGGGACTGTCGTGCAAATGAAGATGATGCTCACTGAAATTTCCCTCAACTGTTCGCACGCTTCCCTAAATGCTCCAGACACCTCTTACCCCCCTCCCCTCCTCCTCTTGCCCCGCCACACCCCCACCAGAATCCATTATCCTCACCTCGGTTTTTACCAGAATTCCAATTATCTCCAGGGAAAATCAACTACATATCATCAAAATTAAACAGTGTAATGCCCGAAGAACAGCATAGTAAAGTGACGGCAAGAAACAGAGTCTGGTTGGGGTGGTGTGGGAGGGAGAGGAGGGGCGAGGGGAGGAGGCGAGCGAAGGTTAGGGGCGAGGGCAGCGACGATTGGGTCATCCTGTGTCAGGCGAGTGGCGGGAACAAGAGGGTATTAGACCTACACACAGCAATTACCGAAATGATATGCCAAGTCGGGGGCGCAGAGGAGCTTGCTAGCCACTTACCACACGGCGCGTCTAACGGGGCGTGGAGGGTGATGAGTGGTGGAGGGTGATGGGTGGAGGGTGGAGGGCGGTGGAGAGTGATGGGTGAAGAGTGGAGGGTGGTGAGTGGAAGGTGATGGGTGGAGGTTGGTGAGTGGAGGGTGATGGTTGGTGGATGGAGGGTGGTGAGTGGAGGATGGTGCGTGGAGGGTGGCGAGTGTGGCGAGTGGAGGATGGTACGTGGAGGGTGGAGAGTGATGGGTAGTGGGTGAACGGAGTGCGTGGAGGGTGGTATGTGGAAGGAACGGCGTGGAGCGTGCTGGGTGGAGTGTACAGTATAGATGAAGTGGGTGGGAGGAAAGGGGTGGAGAGTGATGGAGGTAGGGGGAGGGGTGGAGAATGAGAGAGAAAAGCTTACCTTGCTTATTCTGTCTCACATTTTATTATTGTGCCAGTTGCTTAAGTCAGTCTCTCTCTCTCTCTCTCTCTCTCTCTCTCTCTCTCTCTCTCTCTCTCTCTCTCTCTCTCTCTCTCTCTCTCTCTCTCTCTCTCTCTCTCTCTCTCTCTCTCTCTCTCTCTCTCTCTCTCTCTCTCTCTCTCTCTCTCTCTCCTTATTAAATCTACAGTATAATGTTTGTAATGAAACTTTTTAAAACTGGAAAGGTGTTAGGTGGGATTTAGTCCAGTAGGATCTTGTCCAGTGAAATTTTGTCCACCATCACCACCCTTACTACTACTACCACCACTATCACCACCACCACTACAACCACCACCATAACTACCACCACCATAACTACCACCACCATTACTACCACTACCTCCTCCACCACAACCATCACCACAACCACTACTACCAGCACTACAACTACTACTACCACTACCACCATCATAACTACTACCATCACTACAACCACGACTACTAACACCACAACAACAACTATCACCACGAGTCACCACAACTACCAGAGGTGTGTTGCATCAAGACTCTCATTCACTCTGGGTTACTTCCCCGACGCTAAATGAGGCTCGCTGTCATTACTGTAAGCGTCCCCAGTTTATTTCCACACACACACACACACACACACACACACATACACACACACACACACACACTCACACTCACACACACACACACACACTGGTAACTAGGGTGGGCATGACACCTTTCTTGCAACGAGGGAGACGTGGTGCTGTTGCAATGGGAAGTAAGGAATTTGTTGTTGCAGCAGGAAGCCTTGATGTTGCAAGGAGTAATGTGATGTTGTGCCGTAGGAGGAATTACATTAGACATCGCAAAGGGAAATAAGATGTTGCAGGGAAAATCATGTTTGCTGTGATGGTAACATAGGAAATTACTAAAAGAGATGAAAGATGTTGCAAGGAGATGTCACATTACTATAAGAGAAAACATTAAGTTGCAAGGGAACGTAAGATGTTGAAGTAAGAAGCAAATGGAGGTTGCAAGGAAAAAAATATTCCTACAACACGATATAAGATATTCTTACAATTTGCAACGAAGAAATGTTATATATGCAACGTGAACTACAAAGGCGTTACTGGATAGGTGTTGTCGTGTTATTGCAAGAGACACTGTTTTAATGTCGTTGTATGGAATTGCACTCTGTTGCAGCGAGCAAGAGTATTTTGTTGCACTCAGGTTTATGATGGTGTTGAGCAGAGAATTGTTTGTGTTGCACTGAGAGTTACGGCTTCCTTCCACCAGCTTATTAGTATGCAGGACCCCGGGATACTGCCCTGTTGTTGTTGCACGTGGAATGTTACTCTCTCTCTCTCTCTCTCTCTCTCTCTCTCTCTCTCTCTCTCTCTCTCTCTCTCTCTCTCTCTCTCTCTCTCTCTCTCTCTCTCTCATGGGATGTTGCAACTGGATCCATAAACATGTTGTTGCAATAGGAAATGCACCTCTGTTGCAACGGGACTTTTGCATCGTAAGGTGCGAAATATTTAGATGGCACGTTGCCCAACTATATTATTGCAAAGATAAACGTAAAGTATTTTGGTGGCGTGACAGCAAATAGAGACATGTAGAGTTATAGGAATAGATGCAATTGCGAGTGGATATATTGACACTGGTGTAGTTGCAGAGGCGTAATGTTGCAAGATATTGAAATATGATATGTCTATAGGGATATTTTTATTGACATATTACAAGAAAATTCGGTGGAATAGTGGAATGCTATGGTATTGTTGCAAGAGTCGATGTTGTGTTGCAGTTAATACCAGTTTGTTGACTGTGTGGTGTTGTTGTCACGGCCGGTGTTACCTCGCTACACTTGTTTACTAGATGTTGTTGCATTTATGTTGTTGCAAGGGCTGTTGTCCTCTTGCTTACTCCCCTGGGACTGTTCTGTTTGTTGCACGCGACCGTGTGTTGATGTGCTGGGTATTGCCGTGTCGGTGAAGCTGATATTGAAATTTTGTTGCATGGGACAATATGTTGACGTGTTGGGTACTGCACTGTTGCTAATGGAATATTTGTTGCATAGTAAATTTTGTTGAGATGATGCGTACTGCAATCTTGGTGATGCTGGAAATGTGGCATGTTTGTTGCAATGTTGGTGATGTTGTTACTGAAGTTTGTTTGTTGCATAGGGCATTACGCTGCCAGGTTGGGTATGAGAATGGTGCTAATGTTGCTATGATTGTATTCAGGAACGACCATGGCTTATGTTATTGAATGTCGTTCCAGTAGTCGCCTTGGTTATAGTCGTATCGATCGTAGTCGTGTTGGTCGTATTTGTATCGATCGTAGTCGTGTTGGTCGTAGTCATATCGATCGTAGTCGTGTTCGTCCGTGTTACTGCGACAGAGCTGAGAGGAGTGTGACAAGAGACCTTATATTACTGAGGGAGTTCGGTCACGTATCGCGTGTTCGAGTTAACCATCAAACGTTGTATGTAGTTATCTTCTTGACGTAACAATGATGATGTTTTGTTGCAAGATTACTATGTTAATGTTCGAAATATATTGTATTATAAAGGGAGAGAGAGAGAGACGGAGATAGAGAAACAGGCAGAGAAGAGAAAGACAGAAAGACTGACAGATATTCAGACAGACTGGGATAGAAATGTAGACAGACTGACAGACAGACAGAGAGCCGGAAATGTTAACATGAGAACTTGTTTTGCCTCTAATTAATATTCTATTCCACGGTAGAATATATGTAATACCATATAGCCCAAAGCAATTGTATATATGTTGTTATCATTTTAAAACATGGTGAAGGGGACTGCTTGTATTACACGGGACTATTAATACAGTGGACGAGGCATTAGAGTGTTGTTTTCACCGTGTAGAGTCAAGTTACGTTTCACACATAAACCATCTCTACTGGGAGGATATTAGGTACATTATTGCACGGGGTGGGAGATAAGTTGCAGATCATATTACCATGTTGCATAGATGATCAACATTTGTACAGAGCAATACGTTGGTGGTTAGTTTTAAGGGTTAGTTTGTTGCAAATTATTTAATAGTATTGCGTATATGATTTGTATTGAAGATTAGTTTGTTGCAAGATACAGACATTATTGCACATGATTGGTGTGGATATAATTAGCGTGTTGCAAATAATATACATATACTGTAATGTATATAATTGGTACAGAGATTTAGTTTGTTGCAAATCATACAGCCACATTTCACAGACGCTCAGTAAGTTGCAAAGTGTAGTTAGCATGTTGATGGCTGTTGGACATTAGCTGCTATTGATTACTCGTACATTAGGACCGCGATATTTTCGTGGGAATTAATGTAATGGTGTAAGTGCCGGGCAGAGTCATGCACTGTGCTAGTGTGGACAGATAAACAAAGACGAAATGAGTCTGTAATTTCTAGTACAGACAGAGAGGAAACGAGTCTGGGCAATAACAGACACACAGACACGGAGAAAACTGAAAGCGAGCGATAGTATAAAATCTTAGGTGATAACTACCCACGTTTCATTAGTTAACCTTTTTACCTCTCCTTTAGCACATTGACTTAGTTAAATTCGATAACAAATTAATTAGTATCGAAATGGTAGTGTATAGTCTCATGGGGTTTAATAAGAATCGATTGGTAATTAAATTTTCTTTACGATTTGAAGTTTGAAGATGAGAAAACGCTGGAGTATATGTTGACAAATGTTTATTTACTTGTACAAAAAACGATAATTTATTTTCATATACTGTGTTAAGGAGTACAGGAAATAGTTATGAATCATCGTAAATAAGACAAATATGCTCAGTCTTAAAGTAAATATTCAAAAGATGTAAACGAAAATGAGAGACACAAGCTAAATCACTTTCAGATGGGTGCGTTCGAGCGTGTGAAAATTAAACAAGACTGTAGTGCTTGAACGCAGCCCGCCCCCTTGCTGGCGTCCCAACATTCATTGCCATTAAAAAGCTTTCAGGTTTCTTAAGTAAGCACTGCACCACATGCCAACATTCCTCCGTCACACACGCCAAGAAACGGGAGTAGCAGCTTTTAATGGTGTGTTATAAGTAATGATAAATCACAGCCTAATGCGTATTGACCTGTCTACACCTTTACTCACTACCACTACAACAAGCTCACTGTGTTTACGTCTAATAAGAGGTACTCGTTCATTTGATGGCTAGTCCCCGACGCGCGTTAAACTGAATATAAAACACTAATAACTTAAAGGTCTTAGGGAGCTTAGTGACTTTGTGTTAAGTGGAGTGTGAGGCGATCGGCTTATAGTGTGTGTGGGGGTGATGGGTGTGGGGTGATGGGGGTGGGGGTGTGGGGGGTGGGGGTGGGGGTGTGGGGTGGGTGGGGGTGATGGGTGTGAGGGTTGTGGGGGTGATGGGTGTGGGGGGTGGGGTGAGTTGGTAAGGGTGGAAGTTACTGTCCGGGTAAATGGCTCCAATAATTCGGTCGTTAATTAAGCTTTTGTTCGTCTTATGTTGTTTTTTGTTTTTTTTCTCCTCCTGAATTCTAAGTTAATCTCGCGTATATATATTTTCCTATCTGTTATTGACGTTAATAAGTGTTGAGATATTTTAACGCTTCATTACTGCAGCTTTTTGTTTTAGTTTAAGTTAAATATTTTGACTGTTAAGTGTTGGCTTTACAGTATAGTAGTAATTCTTTACCCCCCCCCACCCTTCACCTGCTCACCTCCCCCGAGCTGTAATTGCCACCCCTCCTCACCCCCTCCTCACCCTCTCCTCACCCCCTCCCAGGCTAGTGACCAAGAGACATGTATTGATCAAGTAGTCAAAGCCATCATGAAGATTTTTGTTCAGTAATTTAATCTAGAGATAATGTAACAAAAAGGTGCCTTGTTATTTTAATTAATTTTCGTTTGATATTAAAAAACCCTCGTACATTGTTGATTCCATCTTAAACTATTGTAAACAAAAACATACGTCGTTGATTTTAACTTAAACTGACGTAAACTGAAGTTGAACATTGTTGAAGTCAATGCGAATCTCTCTTGACTTATGAGACCAATTGCTGACTCGAAATTATCTAGAGTTGAAATCAGGTTGTTGATGTGGCTAATTTCCTCCACTGAGAGATAAGTTGTAAGGCGGTCCTCTCGATAAATAGCACACACACACACACACACACACACACACACACACACACACACACACACACACACACACACACACACACACACACACACACACACACACACACACACACCACACAGACACACACACACACACACACACACACACACACACACACACACACACACACACACACACACACACACACACACACACACACACACACTTGCTTCTGGTTACACAGGAAAGTCATTAAGTGAGGGAAATTGATCAATCGAAGACACATCGGAAGAAATTTTCGGCAACTGGTTCAGGTCAATGGTTTTTAGTCTCGTTGCATCAGCTTGTATATCATAAATGGATAATGTCGTTCTACTTGTCAAAAAATAGATGTGTTATAGTTGTTAAGTTTCAATGTTATTTTACTCGTAGAAAACATTTGCTCGCCAGCACGTGTTATGTTCCTCACGTCACAGGTGCCTCGGTACACGTGACAACACCGCAGCGACAGTGTAAATATGAAGTCATTGACAAATAGTTAATCATATTGTAAGTAAATGATTGTAAATTAACATGATCGTCAACTCCGCATATAGTTAACTAGCCTTTTACACTACTAAGGTTCCATTATAATTACTGGAAATCTATATGAACACCTAACACAATACAGCTTTGTAATACCAGTGAATATGTTTCCCTTGTGAGTAAAAATAACTTCGTACACGACCATGGAAGCTATTTTTTGGAGCGTACGACTGAACTTTGGGCTGTCCACGTGTAAGTGTACTGTACAGGCTGGTGTTGTGTTCGTGCTTACGGCGTTGCTGGGACACTACCAGGAAACTTAACTTGAGCCACACACCAGGGCCGGCCATTCTCACAATACTAACACAAAACCTTCCTAATTATGGACTCGTCTGCCCCGGGGAAGTCGCTTTAATGGGTCTACCTTCCGCTTTAAAGTGGATGGTATTAACTTGTTGTCTCCCATATCCAGAATACATTAAGAACAGGGTGTGTGTGTGTGTGTATGTGTGTGTGTGTGTGTGTGTGTGTGTGTGTTTGTGTGTGTGTGGAACAAGACATAATTGAGAGAAGGATTTTTTTTAGTTTATTCAGGGATCCTTGACTTGATCCCACGAGATAAGAAAACACCCAGAAAAACACCCCTACCTTACACCTTCCCTGCCTTACACAACACTACCCTACACCCTTACCCTACAACTACAGCCTTACCCTACACCACACTCCCACCCTACACCACACTCCCACCCTACACCACACTCCCACCCTACACCACACTCCCACCCTACACCACACCCCCACCCTACACCACACTCCCACCCTACACCACACTCCCACCCTACACCACACTCCCACCCTACACCACACCCCTACCAAAGTAATAACACTCATATTTATTCACGTACTGTGGGTTTAGCAGCGGGAGTAAGCATGTAGGAACGAGTCCACAAAATTGGTGATATTAGCGTAAATTAGCACAAAGTAAGCGGTGGTTCCAGGAACATTTAATTGGTAATGCTGGGTTTAGTGGCCGCAGGTAGAACGTGGGGGGAATATTTTGAGTGTCTTGTGAGGGGTGTGTGAGTGTGTTTTTGAGTGTTTTTGTTTATGAGTGTGTGAGTTTGTTTTTTGAGTGTCTTGTTAGGGGTGAGTGAGTGCGTTTTTTGAGTGCCTAGTGAGGGAGTGTGTAGTAGTAGTAGTAGTAGTAGTAGTAGTAGTAGTATTTTTGTTGTTTTGCATTTGTTGTTGTTGTTATCAATGGTGTTTTTGTAGTTACTGGTAGTATTACTGCTCTTGGTATAAAAACAAGAATTTGGTGAGACATATCTGAAGAAACTCGACATTGGTGAGGAACTAGTGAGATAGATTCCCTACCTGCTTGATTTTACGGAACAAGAAAAATTTATATATTCCTTAGGAGGGAAACTAACATGAAATGGAGTTGTGGAAAGTGTTAACAGAAATGGAAATGAAATTGACTTTATAATATCGAAGTGAAGTGAAGTGTGATTTGTGTCTACTCTAAAAAATTTAACCTCATACTTCATTACCTAAACACTTCCTTCGCCCCACACTTCATCATTACCTAAAACACTTCCTTCCTTCACACTTCATTACCTACAACACTTCCTAAAAACACTTCCTTGCTTCACACTTCATACCTAAAGCACTTCGCTCTTCACATTATTACCTACAACACTTCCTAAACTTCCTTGCTTCACTTCATTACCTAAAACACTTCCTTCGCCCCACACTTCA